CATGAGGGAAGGATCCCCGATTCAGGCTCTTGAAGGGGTTCTTCTCCCTGTCCTTCTAACTCCCAACGCAGGGCTCCACTGCGTGAGGTCAACCCAGGTGACCAGTCTCATCTTCCTGGGGTGATCCTCTTTACTTTGAGATGCCATTTGTTTTCCCAATGATACTAATTACACGTTTGTAATGGAAACCACAGAATCTGGAACTTTCCTTCCACTTACAAGTCAAGCAACTTAAAGATAGTCTCAGTACATCATTTACTGGTATCACTGGGCGTGGTCTGCCCAGCCACGGGATAGCGGGCTGAACAGAGTGCGGCGGGGCGGACGGCCATGGTGCTCCAGCCCTGAGCTGGGGAAGCCACAGTCCTCAGCTAACTCCTTTCTCTCCTCTTTGATGTGTTATCTGTAAAATACGTGTACTGGCCGCTCAATTAAATGAAATCATAATTCATGTGGAAATACTCAAATTCATACGTTCTTAAACCATCCTTTCTTTAAATAACATCAATGGGCAATAAACATTAAAAGCATTATAAATTAAAACATCAAGATTCCATTGGCCAGTTAGAGAAAATAGCCAGATATTTAAAATTAAAAAAAAAAAAAAAATCCTTGTGTTCACAAAGAAAAGGTCCATGTGGAGAAAGGGTCATTCTCCTGGTAATGGGAGTTACAAGCTGGTATAGACTCCCTTGTGGACAATTTGGGCACGAAGTCCCACTGTGATACAGAAATCTCAGTTCTAGGTATTTGTTCAAAAGGAATAATCTGAGGGGCTCCTGGGTGGCTCAGTCAGTTAAGCATCGAACTCTTGATTTCGGCTCAGGGTCCTGAGATCGAGCCCCGCATCAAGCTCCTCGTCGGGCTCCACGCTCAGCAGGGAGTCTGTTTCTCTCTCTCCCTCTCTTTGTCCCTGCCCACGCTTGTGCTCTCTCTCTCTATTTTTTTTTAAAAAAGTAATAATCAGAAATATTGAGGGGAGTGGTCTTTGTACTCATTTGTAATAGTGAAAACGTGAGAGGAATCTAATGTTGCTTTCTAAAATTCTAGCTGAGAATTGATTAAGTAGAGTCCATCTCAGTAAGATTAGAAAGTTTTGATAAAATGGGAAAATATGCATTATCTACTATCAGGTAAAGAAAGCAAAGTACAAGAGTATGAGCACGATCTCTGTGTTTTAGGAACCCGGAGAAAAGATTTAGCGCTAAAATTCTAACAGTGATTTTCCTTTAGATGAAGGTAATAGTTACTTTTTATTTCTTTCTCTGTGTTGCAAGTTTTCTGCAATGACTTATTATAAGAATATAGTTACATAAAAAGAACAAATGCTCTCCAAATGTTACCCTTTGGCGTTTTTTAAGTTTACAATTCAGTAAGTGGCTTTCAGTGGTTCCCATCACCTTCAGAGAAATAATAATAAAGTGCATAACAAAGAATTTCCCCTTGGAAAAAAGAAGCCTGTGTGTACGCACAGGTTTCTGAGAATTCAGAAGGAGTTTAGGCATGATCTACGCTAATGTTAACAGCTTTTCAAAGATTACCAAACATAGGAATGCAGGGACATAAATCTTAAAGTTTGTAACCATTTTTCACCTACAGCGCCTAACAGCCTGTTTCCCCTAAATTACTGTCTTATCATTGTTTTACAGGTTTTATATCTCTTTAAATATTGATGAAATGACAAGGACCCTCCTCACCCAAACCACATTCTACGGAAGATCTCAAACTTTTAAAAAGTCCCACATTTACAGGAAAAAAATATTGGATTAGTCATACCCAAGACTCAGGCTGCAAATGTGAATGCATGCAGACTGTTAGCCTAACCAGACGGAAACGCTGGACTGCCACGTCACATACTTTCTCCCCAGCCCCCCACAGCCCCCTGCCAGCAGGGGGTGGGGTGGCCAGCTCTCTCTGGCTGCTTGGGGCCATTTGCCCTCCTGCTGCAGAAGATGCAGACCTACTCCCTGGGTTAAGAGAGGAGCACAGAGAAATGGAGAGAACACAATGCCATGTGCAGAGTCCATTCCGAGGACGCATGAGATGAAGGAGAGGTAGGCACGTTTATTCAAACTCAGATGAAGGAACAGAAATGTCTATAAGGAAACCCTCAAATCAGAGGTAGCCAATTTCTTCCCGGGATTAGTCAATCTCTCTGTCTGTATTTATACAAACCGAGTTTCTGTATTACCGTGTAGACCTGTATTCAACGGAACTTGCTACACACTCAAAACAAACATTATTTCACCTTACTTTTCAGATCCCATGGAAGACAGAACTGTCCCGTTTTGTGATTGGATGAGGGCTGTGGTGGGAGGTGACCTGAAGAGTGCGGGCTGCTCAGGGTGGCTGCTCACATCCTGTTCATCTGCATTCCCTGACCACTCAGCCCTCCTGTAGTCCCCATCCCAGAGATGCCCAGCCCTTCGCTGCCACACCCTCCCCTAGGCACCTGGGGCAGGTCCCACCTGGGGCAGATCAAAGGGAGTAATGGGGAGCTGGGCCCAAGTTCTGTCAATCCACAAGCCATGTGACCTTGGGCAGTTGCTGTGCTGGGCTCCTCGTGTGCAAGCAAGGGTGCAATGACAAGACCCTCTGCACACCGGTGTGAGGCCTGAATGCAGTAACACGTGTGAAGACCTCGGAACAGCCCCGGGCCCCGGGAAGCGCCCCATACAGGGAACTAGGATCACCATTTTAGTAGTAGTAGTAACAAGATAACTTAGTCCCCCATCCACTGGTCCATGACAACCGGGGAGGGGGGGGGTGTGACAAGATAGCAGTGTGATTATGAATTAGAAAAAGAAGAAAATAAGAAAGGAAAACCCAAATTCTGTGCCCAAGCCCCAGCGGTCAGGACTCGAGTGTGAGCAGCTTCCAGATGTCTTAGCCGCCGCCCGCAGGGACAGAACCCAGCGGACCCTGCTTGGGCCTCCGACCTCCCTGCACACCACTGCACCTGTTCTTCTGACTCTTCTGCCACAGGGTAAACCCGAAGAACCACGCACCTGGGGGCTTGTGGTAAAACAGATATGACTTCACGGGATTATTCTGCAAAGACCCCATGCTCCTGCCATAGGTCTCACTGTTATTCTTCTCTGTCACCCCTTGAGCCCAAAGTACATAATCGCCCAGTAATTGAACCGAAATGTCTAAATGGCTGCAGCTCCTAAAGGACAGAGCTATTTACCAATGAAAAAAGTGGGGAAACCTGTAGCAAGCCTCCCTGGCGCTCTGGGCATCAGCACAAAGACTGTGTCAACATGGCGCCCCGACCTGCCCCCGCTCCAGTCATTAGCAGAAACAGAGCCGTCCTGGCCGGCGCGCTGCGGCTTCGGAGTGGAGCGCCGCGCCTTCTAACCTTTCTCAGGATATAATTTTATGAAAATTGAAGCAAAAGGTAGAAAAAGACATTTTCCTGCTCATGTCAGGAAGTACTTCTGGAGAGGAAAGAGGCTGGGGTCCTTGACGTCGGTGTTCCCCTCAATGCAGACAGAAGCAGTAAGCCCTGGAGTTGAGGGCTCGGGAGTCACTGGCTCACACGCCAGGAGTCCTGGTGGTGTCCTCGGTGGAGCCCCTCGGTGCTCCGGAGGGACCCACGGAAGGCACATGGGTCCCCAACACGGAAGCACAGAGCAGCTCAGTTTTCCAAAACTGTGCAGTGTCAAAAGTGCAGAAATCAGGTTTTCCTCTTTGGAGCAACACAGAACTAGTTCCAAGGCCCCCAGGGTCTTTGCCTTTAGAGCAAGACGTACCCTTCTACCCCCTCACTGCGGCCCTGGATTCACACTACGGATAACTGTAAACATCTTCAAACAGTCCACAAGGATCCTCTGAATGAAGCACCTCGGTCCATGTCGGTAACAGAAGAGCCATCGCTCAGTGGCTCAACTCAGTCATCCGTGGCACCCAGCAGAGTTAACAATTTTAATTATCATTTAAAAAAATGCAATACTTATCATGTGAATGAAGCACGTTGGCACACAAATCATGAGACAAGGATGCTGAATAGAATTTTTGTTGGTTGATCGCATGAGCAATACCTCTTGCTGCCGAAATAACTTCTCGAAGGCAATATAATGACGACATGACAATCTATGTAAATCAAGAACTGCTTGTGGGTTTATTTTACATTTGAGAAAACAGTGGATTTAATTGTGTGAACCAAAATGTACTGTACAATATTAATGATAGAACATCAAAATGTATAATTAATAGTGCATTGCTTGCTTTGTTTTCATTTATTTATTTTTGTCTGATATACATGCATCTGGAAAGATGCAGGTGCCAGTAAAATTTCTCTATTTAAATCAAGCTGCAGGAACTAAATTTTATTCAAAAATTGTGGTTTTACATTATATACACAGAAATTTAATATAAAATGACAATATAAAAAGTTAAAAGAGAAAGCATACAGCCAGAAGGTACAAAGAAAGTTGAATAGATTAAAATGGTACGATATGTAACATATAGGGGGTTTAAGCTGATGCTGGCAATTTACAAGGAAAGGACTCCGTTTGCCCCATGTTTTTTTCATTTACCAATGCAGCTATAGAAAGGTCAGCTTATACCAAAGCTTACATTTGTAAATAACTATAAACCGCAGTATTTTACAGGAAAAAAGAAATAGCATTTGTACACGTTTTTAAATAATAGCTTGCATACTTTTTTTGCCGAAAGTGGCATTTTTTTCAGCATCCAGAGGGTCTGGGCATAGTGGCAACTGGGGTGTTTGGTGGTGGTGGTGGTGGTGGTGGTGGTGGTGGTGGTGGTGGTGGTGGGTTTTTTTGTTTTTTGTTTTTTTTTTTTTTGTCTTCAATGTGTAAAACTGTGGCTTCCTAACCCCACGAGTCCTAGACAACTTTCTATCTTCCAACAGCTGCATGCATGTTTCCTTCACAAACCAGTTCTGCATATAAAAGCTCATTTTTTAATTATTAAATAAGTTTTGTGTCTGACACAGCTTTTGATCTGAATGAAATGCCTTTAAGCCTTTTTTCTTTTTTTTTTTTTTTTTTGAGTGAAAGGCACAGAAATGCAATTGCAGTCCTCAAAGGGTTAAATTTGACACTACTAGGTTCTATGACCTTTATTGTCATGGCAACTTTGTAATTTTAGGATGTCTTTTTATCATTGTTATTTGTGTCTTTCTTTTCTGCTAAATAAATGTCTCTGAGTAGCGTGCCCCACTATTTCCTACAAAAGATAGCTTAACATCAAGAACAGATGTTGAAAATAAAGGTCAGACTTTGACTCACGGAAAAAGAAAAATAACATGCACAATCGGACAAAGAGCATATAAATATAACTACAAAATATGTGTAAGAAAAACCAAGGTCCAGACAGCCAGCTCGGCAACAAAAGGGAAGGCTGATTTCGGAGGCTCAGCCAGGCCTAGTGCAGTACAAAGACAACGTGTAGTGCAATGTGCCGCGGTCCCTCGCATACCTGGGCGCTATTGTTTCTCCAGCTCTGTCACATAGATCAGGTGGTCCTCCGGGGACTTGCCGTGGGTCTTACTAAGGTGCAGTTTGACTGCGTGCTTGCTCGCAAAAGTCCTGTTGCAAAGCTTGCATTGGAATGTGGAGCCCACATCATCCTCGGCAGCCCCTATCGGGCCCAAAGCTTTGTTTGCCAGGACTTTTGAAACATTCTGCTGTTCTTGAATCTGATTTAGTGGCAGCTTGGAGAGATCCTTCAAGCTGAAGCCTAAGTGTGTCTCTAGATGATTTATGTACGTAGAAGCAGTTCTGAACTGAGAGGCACAATCGTTGCAAAAGAAAACAGGATGCCCTGTGTCCAGGTTCTTCAGGAACTTGGTACCCCCTGTCCTCCTCAGCTGATACTTCACGTTGGCCAGCCAGTGGCTGATGGTGGTCATGGACAGCCCCGTAAACTTGGAGATGTGCACGCGCTCCTGAGGGCCCAGGTCCGACATGATGTACTTACCCTCCGGCGTCTCCCGCAGGCTCGAGGCAAACTGGGCCTGCAGGATGAGCAGGTGCTGCGGGTTCCAGTTGGACTGTCGCCCCTTCCTCTTGTGCACAGGCGACAGCTCATCCAGCGCTTCCTCGAAGCTGCTGCCGTCGGCGTCGGACTTCTCCGACACGGTGGAGGGCGTGGAGGACTTGGGGGTGAGCCGGCCCGTGAGGTTCTTCACCATGTCGGAGATGTCCATGAGGGCACTCTCGCGGAGAGGCGAGGCCACGGGGTCGGCTGCGCTGGAAACCAGGGGCTTGCTTTTGGACTTGGTCAGGTCGATGGGCTGGTCGCTGTTGTCGTAGTAATAGCGGTCGATGGCGTCCGCCTGCTTGATGGGGATGGCAGGGTAGACCGGCTTGTCCAGCATGCTGTTGCTGATTTTGTACAGCATGGCCAGAGGGTCCAGCGACGGGCTCACAGGCTTGGACACTTTGCCCAGGTGGGTGTTCATGATGGACTGCAGCGCGCTCAGCGGGTTGATGAAGGAGGGCTCCGGCGAGTGGTCCGTGATGATGCCCAGGTTATTACAGCCATTGGTGACTTTGGCTTTCAGAGGCTCGGTGCCGTTTGGGGTGTGCGCGTCCTGCACACCCTCCTTTTTGGCTTTCCCCGCCTCCGCCTCGGGGCCCTTCTTCTGTTGCGCCTTGCCGCTGCCGCCACCGTCCTCCATGCGAGGGAAGTCTTTATTCTCTTTGGCCACGGGGGACACAGCCTTGGCCGGAGAGCCCTTCTCCCTGTCGGCGGGCCGCTCCTCCTTCTTCACGCTGACCTTGCCGGTGACTTTCTCCACCAGCTCCTCCATGGCCGACACGTTGCTCTTGTGCGGCGGCGGCGTGAGGCTCCCCGGGGAGTGCAGCAGTGCGCTGTGCTCCGAGGCCAGTGACTTCACGCCACCCGCGTAGGACGGCTGCATCTGCACGCTCTGCACGGCAGGCAGCGGCTTCACGGCGCCAGGCAGCTGGTACGCTGCGTGGATGCTGGGGTAGCCGCCCCACGAGGGCGCGCCGTTCTGGGCTTTGCTGATGGCCGTGGAGACCGTGTTCTCCAGGGACTTCAGGATGTCCACCCCGCCCTTGGGGCTGTCGTCCAGGTCCTCCTCGCGGAGGTACTGATACAGGGCGGTGGGCTCGAACTTCTCGGGGGCCTCCTCGCTCTCCTCCTTGACCTTCTTCTCTGCCTCGCCAGCCGCCGGCGCCTTGTCCTTCTCAGGCTCCTTCTTGTCCTCGGAGGGCGTGGCGCCCGCGGGAGAGTCGGGCTGCTTCTTGATGTGGGAGGCCGGCAGCCGCGTGTGCGTGGTGGGGGGCAAAGGTATGGACTGGATCTTCTCTTCCACCACGGGGTCCAGCACCAGCTGCTTCCCCTTCTTGGAGGCGGAGCTGGTGACCTTGAGGAAGTGGCCGGTGACCATCATGTGGGCGGTGAGCTGCTGCAGCGTGTCGTGGGAGCTCCCGCACTCCATGCACTTGAGGATCTGCGCCTTGCGGGCCTCGAACTGCCAGGTGTAGCTGGCTCCGTTCTGGTAGCCGTAGCGGTTGTTGGGCGTCACGTACGGGTTGGCGGCCTTCTGGTCCTTGGCCGACTCGCTGAGCGCGGCGTCGGCGGCGAGTCCCGCCGGCTCGGGGGAACACGGCGACGCCAGGTCCTGCAGGGCGCGCTTCTTGGTGGAAGGGACCAGCTTGGTGATGGCTGGCACTGGCTCCTTCAGAGGCACTTTCTGGTAATGCTTTGTCTTGATCATGTGGACGCTCAGGTCCTGCAGGGACTCGAAAGAGTGGCCGCAGTACATGCACTTGAGCACCTTCTGGGCATCCTCCTTGCCTTCCATCTCCATCAGCGAGCGCTTCCTGGGCTTGGACCACCGCTTGGTCTTCTCGGAGTCTTTGTCCCTGTTGTCGTCACGGTAGTGCCCCGTCTCATTCATGTGCACGGTCAGCTCCACCAGGGTGTCGTAGGCGGCGCTGCAGTCCTTGCAGCGGAACTTGCTGGCGCCCGTGAACACCGAGCCATACAGTTTGTTGTTCTGCCTATAGAGCTGCACGGTGCTGAAGAGGCTGGGCTCGGGGAGCAGCCCATACGAGGACGTCTGCTGCAGCGTCTTGGCCAGGGCGGCCTGATGCCAGTCGTACCCCGAGCCGCCGCCGCCGCTGGTGCCGGAGCCGGAGCCCGAACCGGAGCTGGGGGTGCTGGCCGTGGTGCCCGTGGTGCCCGCCGTGCTGGCGGGGGGTGTGGGGGCGGGGGTGGAGCTCTCCTTCTGGCCCACATCGCTGCTGCTGGTGGTCGAACCCGACTTCTTCAAATCCAAAGCTAAGCTGGACCAGCAGGACTCGGAGAACAAGTTTGCATACACAGCCTTGATTTGTGCCAAGCTGTCCTGGGGGTAGGAGACGCTGTCCGGGCCCTGTGGATCCTCCTTCTCTTCTCTGGAGGAAGAGCTTTGGAAATGGACTAGCTGGTCGCTGTTCTCACTGAAGGGCGACCCGTAGCCAGCGTCCTGGTTCGTCGCGGTGCTGACAGGGGAGTTCTGGTAGCTCTGAGCTTCCTTGATGTCTGTGTCCTCATTGCACACGTAGTCGCTTTCTGGGATGTCCAGGGACAGCCCAACCTCCTCCACGTTCTCTTCATCTATTTCTGCTGCCTTCAGTTCTTCCTCAGGAACATAAGCTAGGAGAGACAAATGAAACACAGTGAGGAGAAATAAATCATCTTCAAGGACGCGGCCTCCCCAGCAGTTACATGATCCTTAAAAAGATGTTTCTCAGCCAAGCACCCAGCCTGCAAGGCTCCCCCTGCTTTATGGAACAACCCCGTCCTCAGCTCCTGCGGAAATAAGGTTTCCAGCAGGACAGTAACCCCTCTCCTCCCGACTGAACACAATCAGCAAAGCAGCCTCCACTAAAGGGCCAGTATCTGCCCCCTTCTTAAAAACATCAGTCTGGCCAACCCAGCGGGGCAGCGGGGCCTGAGGGGGAGCCCGGCCACCTCCTCCTGGAGGTTGTTCCTTCCCTAAGCGACGTGCGGGTCCGTCATGCCTCCCCATCAGGTGGGACCTGTCAACTTGCAAGGCAAGATATTCCACAGACAGTAGCATAGTGGCTTCTGTAAATAAAGAGCTTCCTCAAAGGCCAGCGATAAAAAACACTCTGTTCTTCACCAAAAAGAAGGCCAAAATATAGCACCTTCGGCCCCCTGCCTGGACAGTGCAGATATCACCTGTGTGGGGACACCACACAGTCGTACAAAGCAGCATTATTAACAAGAGCCAAAAGGTGGAAACAACCCAAATGTCTGTGGACAAACGAATGGATGAACCAAATACGTGTAGGTACACGACGGAATAGTATTCAGCCTTGAAAAGTGGGGAAACTGATGCACACTACAGTGTGGGTGAAGCTGGAGGGCACTGGAGGGAGAGGAGCCACACAGGAAAGGGCACGTACTGTAGGGTTCCGTGTAGACGAAGCACCTGTGATTAGGAGGCCCACTCGCAGCGACAGAGAGCGCCACGGGGTGTGCGGGGGCTGAGGGAGGGCGAGGGGGAGGTCGTGGCTCGTGGGCACACAGGTTCAGCTGGGAAGATAGGAAGCTCTGCAGACAGACGGTGGGGCTGGTGGTGCAACAGTGTGAACGTGCTTAAGGTCACGGAACTGTCCACTTCAAAATGGTTAAAATATTAACTTTTGTGTGATGAATATTTTACCACAATAAAAACTTTTTTTTAATTTTTTTAAAGATTTTATTTATTTATTTGACAGAGAGAGACACAGCGAGAGAGGGAACACAAGCAGGGGGAGTGGGAGAGGGAGAAGCAGGCTTCCCGCGGAGCAGGGAGCCCGATGCGGGGCTCGATTCCAGGACCCTGGGACCACGACCTGAGCTGAAGGCAGACGCTCAACGACTGAGCCACACGGGTGCCCCATTTTTTTTTTTTTTTTAAATTTTAACAGAGCCAGTAGGTACGCGCTCCGACAGCCTACCTCAGGCTACACGTGCGCAGCAGAGCGACTTCTGGGGTTGAAGGCGTCACCTTCCAGAGGAAACTCCAGGATACTGACAGCTGTCCCATGACTGAGCGGTTTGGAGGGCACATAAATCGTTAGATGAAACCCGATTTTTTTACTTCAGGACATTTTAGATACTTTAATAGCTGACCAATCTTGTTAATTCCCAAGGGGGAACTAACTGCACACACCACCTCTTAACTTATTTGACCAACATAATTTTATTTAAATTTTTAAATTTTTGTTTTTGAGGAAACAATGAGCCGAACTCGTGTTCCATGCACGCCTTGGGAAATTTGGGGTTAAGATATTTTCCAGGAAGCCCCTAGAAAAATGCACTGCTATGATGCGAGAGGGGTGTCTCATTAAATATGATCACTCATTATCACGTTATCAGAGCCCAATCCTAAGGGAATGCGGCAAAGAGCACACGCGTCTTCAGGAAAGGTTGGGAGGAGAGATGGAGAACATCCCAGCTGCCCAAGGGGTGGACGCCGGGCGCAGGAGGAAGGGACAGGGGAGTACCAGCACCTGCAAACAGACGGCTTCGGGTTGGGGCAGAGGCGAGCACTCGAGGGCACGAGAACTCACAGCGCCCCGAGGACGCGCACAAGCCATGCACACGCACACGCACGCACATGCACGGGGAATCCCACCGACTCGGTCATTTGGTCAGCCTCTCCAGCTGGACCCTTCAGAACCCCTGCACACACCGTGGGCCCATCCCCACCCCTGGAGCTGGTACCAAGCCAGCTGAGCATGAGCGTTCACGTGGTTCACAGCTGAATCCCACACAGAAGAGCCGTCCACAAACAAATGTGACCATTACAGTTAGTACCTTCCCTCCGGCATGAAAAATAACCACTAGTGCAGGAGACTTAACTACACACACTGGCATCTGGATTATGCTCCAGACAATCCTACAGCCCTCCTGTAAAAGGAAAAGCTCAGGAAAAAAAAAAAAGACTGCCAAGTTGAACGTCATCTTCATTTGTCTATAATTATTAAAGGTTTAGGATGGTCCGGGGTTCCGAAGGTTCGAAGCTCAGGTCCTTAGCCAAGGGCCCCAGGCGGCCTTGCCACCTCTTCGCAAGCTGGGCCTGGGCCCCGAGGTCCACCTCTGTGGATTCTGATGGGGGCATCTAAGGCTCTGAAGCATTTGGGCAAGGCAGAGTCCATGGGAAGGTGCAGGCGTGAACCCACCAGCACCGGCCCAGCGGGGCCGTCCCGAGGTACCTCCAGTGGCACGCCCACAGGCAGCCCCACAAACCCGGGTCCACAGGAGGAGGCTGCCTACTGGACTTGGTCTGTCCACTTCTGTGAAAACAACATTCATGCCCCAGCAAGTAATTAAAACTAAGTTCAAGGAAAGGGTTGTTGTTGCTGCTGTTGTTTTAAAGAGAGAGAGCGAGAGCACACAAGCGGGGGGGGGGGGGCAGAGGGAGAAGCAGACTCCCTGCTGAGCAGGGAGCCCAACGGGCTCGATCCCAGGACCCCGTGATCATGACCTGAGCCGAAGGCAGACGCTTCACCGACCGAGCCACCCAGGTGTCCCTCAAGGAAAGGTTTTATCTGAACCCGTTTGGCTCAGCCTGGGAGGCCCATTGCTCTGGGTCTGTCCCCTGTGTCACCTGTCAGCTGGTCTGTCTCCCCCACTGGATGGAAGCAGGGCTGCCCACTGTCTACACGCCGGTGGGCACCCATCCGTGTGTGCGGAATAAAGAAAGGACTTCTGTCTCGGCTCTGGGAACCCAGGATGGGAAATCCCCTGTCCCACCGCTAGGGCTTGCCGGCCCACTGGCCCTCACCCTTGGAGGTGGCCTCTCCAGGTCTGGAACGGCACAGACACGACTCAGCTGGCCTCTGCTTAGTCCCTCGGGCTCTCCCTCCCCTGGCCCCAGTGGAGCGGAGTGTCATCAGACCACACTCCATCCCTCCTCAGGCCGTCCAGTCTACACCCAGAAGTTCCTGGGTTGAGCTGTGATGAGTTTCACGGACAACTCCACACCCCCAGTGTGGCCATTACCAGTGTGTCAGGTAGAACCACACAGAGCTACCCCCAGCCTCTTCCACAAGGAAACCCTCCTAAGAAGTATGGGTTTTCAGTGAGCCTTTCCCCCACCTGCATACCTGCGTCCATGGTGTTCCAGGAGGTAGGGTGTGGCCGGGAGGGATCCCTAACGTGCCTGCTTTGCTGGACTCATGGGAAGGGGGCCCCAGCACACTCTAAGCTGAAGCCCGGGATCCTACCTGCTTTCCCTGACCCGGGCTCAGCATGCCCACCTTCCAAGCGCCCCTGTGGGGAGGCAGCGTTGAGGGCCCTCCTGCCCCAGCCACGCCGCCGGGACAGCACGTGTTGACCCTCCTGCCCCGGGGCCAGTGTACCGGCTGCCGCCAGCCACCCCTCCCGTGGCTCTTGCCTATCGCACTCTGGTCTCTTTCAGGCCGATGTTCACCGGTTCCAGGAGTCTTCCAGTGCAAGCTTATGAGCCCTGAATCTGTGCCCCACCCCCACCCCGGGGTCCGCGGTCACAGGCCCGCCAGGGGACGGCACCTGAAGCCGGGCCTTTGTCATGCCTTCCCGCATGTTTTCAGAGCCAGCCCTGTGTCTGGCACACAGAAGGAGCTCCAACTGGTATGACATGAATTTGTCGTGATGTGAGTGTTCCAGACACTCCCAAGTCAATTATGTGCAAACAGAATGTTCCTCCTGTCCCCTCCCCAAATAACAGCACACTTTCTCCTGAACTAGGAATCCCCTCAATCAGTTGTTATGAACCATCCCAAGCAAGTTACCCATCCCAGAAAAGCGACCGCGGTCCTTGTTCCCAAGCCCTGCGTCCGGCACTGCCCGCACGCCACAGTGCAGAACCCCACACTGCCCAGCGCGCACTGCAGAGCCTGCCAGCCGGGCCACCCCGTCTTGTGCTGCAGGCTTCTTCCTCTGGGCCGGTCCACTCTCACAATCCCAGAGTTCACCCTCTGCGAAAGCCACGTCCTGCACAGAGCGCACGGATCCCCAGGCGGACCCCTCCACCTGCCCCGTGTCCAGCCCTGCGTGCAACCCGGTCCAGGGCAGGACCCCCCACTCCCAGCTTGTGAACAACACTTATCCTCCAGGGGAGGCTCAGATATCACCTCCATCATATGCCTCTCTTAATCCCTGCCAAAATCCACCATCCCCCCGAAGGATTGAGAGATGTCTACTTGCCCGTCCTCCTAGACTGTGAACCTTCACTCCGCTCACGCTGCTGAGGCCACCCCGCCTGCCGCTCGGGGGGCCGTGCTCGTTGTATCACCATCTTCTACCCCACGAGCCTCCGGGGCAGCATCACTGAGATGCCTGTTCTGCCGACGAGGAAGCCGAGCAGCTTTCCCCGGGTCCCATAGGGAAGGAACCAGGCGGTGCCCACATCCAGGTTACCTGACTCCCGGGCAGGTCCTTCCATCCAGCCACCTCGGGATGAAGCTGATTTCCTTCATCTGTCAGCATCTCACACCAGGGAGTACATCCAGTAAATGCCGTGGACGTGAGTGACCCAAAGCCATTCCGAAGTATTTAGAACACCTCTCACGCGCCAGCCATCATGTCTAACGGAGACCGTCTCACCAAAGAAGCAAAAGGAGAGAGTCTGAAATGTGGACACTCTTAGGCCCAATAATTTTACTTTTGGACATATAGCCAGGAACACGGTATGAAATACAGAAAAAGCTTTACGCACAAAGATGTCCTTAATAGTATCATTCCAGACAAAATGTGCCACGCTGTAAATCGTCAACAATAAAAGATAATTCAGTGATTTGTAGTTTATTCCGAGGATGGGCTGTTATTCAGGCATTAAAAAGTATCTTTAATGACAGGGGGAAAGTCCTTAAGTGAAAAAAGCTAAAAACAAATACTGCATACATGGTACAAGGGAAAAATTCTTTTAAAAGAATAGTGGTTTTTTTCTAGATAATGAATATCTATGGGTTATGTTGAGTGACACGGCTCTTGATAAATATCTCTACCTTCAAAATCTTCTTTGGTGTTTTCAGCTCAGCAAACAAGGATTAGCCTCTTCATACTGCTTCTGGAATAAAAGAGCCGGTAGCAACCCTGTGGTGAGCACCTAGCAGCCACTAGCCAGACCCTGGGAACAGGGGGCCCGGGAAGGGCAGGGCTCAGCCTGGGGGCGGAAATATGCACAGGGCTTGGTTAATTACTGTTTTTCAAAACATGTTAAAAAGTAAAGGGGAGGCAGGAATAGTGAGGGGTGCAGATGTATCCGGGTTCTGGTAAGAGGGATTGCAGTTGGCAAGAGGGTCTCCTGCTCCTGGACTATGCGCCCCCCAGGGTGTTCCCTGTCCTGCCTTCCCCTTGGCCAGCGAGTCCCGCGGACGGGCACAGGTGGCAGGGCCTCTCCGTCGGTCCTCAGCCCGCCAGACCAACAGTCACCATGCTGCATCACTTGAGCCTTCTAGCACGTTCCTGTTTTAGAACATTAGGGTTTACACTTTCACCACCTACTCTCCCAGTGTATCAGTCCCGGTAAGTTGATATTCCCCAGCTATTCTGCTCTTCTACCATGTTGTTTTAGCCCATTGACCTATTCTTTGAATGAGTTCACTTTTCAAAGCTAACATACAAGGGGCCGGAGGAAGCATGGACCCAGAGGGGCAACCGGGGGCCACCTGCCCTGTGCCCGCGCTGTGACACCCTTCTGACCCTAGAGTTGTTTTCTTGCCCCCTCCTAGGATGAAACTGGCAGGGTAAAATTGACTTCTGAAGATAGCACATCCACTCAACCAGGTAATCTGCATTCCAGTGGTGTATTCCACCAGCCCGCCAGGCGAGGAGCAAGTCAGGACACTCAGGGTCACATGGGATGGCCACAGCCTGTAACAGGTGTAAGGGATTCAATTTCCACACAAACGAAGGCGTGAGGGAGCCCATGGAATGTTCCAGATTGATTCTGCAAGCGATCAAGCCAGCCTCCCTTACCGCTCTGCCCTCCATTCTCAGAAGTTTCAAGGGCTGACTTGGCTCCAAGGCCCCCGCACTAATGATGACAATAAACACAGAATTCCCAGGGCAGCACCTCCTGTGTGCTCACCAGCGGCCAGGACCCACCCCGCACAGGACCCCTAATCTTCCACTCCTCTCCACCTAACCCCTGGGCAGCTGATGGAGGGACCTTCCTGAGGCTCCCCCAGGGTCAGGGCTGGGCTCTGACCCTCTCTGCCTCGCTTACTGACCTGGCCCTTTCAAAGCAATGCTCAAGCCCCCCGGGGCCACCCCCAGTGGCTCCTGCCTTCCAAATCTGGGCTCAGGCCAAGAGCACTCACATCCAGGGGTCAGAGCCCTCAGAAGGCTCTAAAACCTACTGAGTCTCAATTTAAGAGTTTGGGCCTGAGGAGGATGAGAAAGCTGGACCTTGCAGGACAGGGCTGCCCTAAAGATGGAAATGCTCACACCATACCCACCCCACGGTGCCTGAAAAAACCAACCAGACACTGGGCTTCAGCGGGAGGCAGGGAAGGAGGCTTTTGGTTTTACCACGTCTGTATCTGGAGGAATGGGCTAACCAACTTTTCAAGACAAGGCCCCCTGAGCCGCATCTGCCACACATGGCAGGTGCACAGAGTGTGTGCAAGGGGTGACTGAAGAAAGGGCTGACCCAGGTAGCCTGGACCTGGAGGCCAGGGTAGGTGGGGGAGGGTGACATTCCACCTGCTTATCTCTAGAGGGTCCAGGCAAATGAGGCCACTGCTGTGGTGTCCTCTTGAAGGACAGATGCCCATCATTTTCCTGACATGAGGACAGACAGATGAGACACCCAGGTAGGAGGCCCAGCCCAGTCACCTATGGACAGTGTGGCCCCCCACACACACAGTCACCCACTTGTCAGGGCCTCAGTTTCCCCAAACCGCATTAATGACAACTACTGGTGTCTTTTGGGGGGCGCAGGGGGGAGGTCTAGGAAATGCAGTGGCAGCATGTCTTCATCAAGCCCAAGTCCGTGCTTGCCAGCCCCTCTGCGTCCTCCTCACACCCTGCAGATGCAAAATGAACTGGGAAATGTGCATGTAGGGGCCGTCCCCCTAAGCTGACAGAGGCACCCCTGCTTAGCCTCATGCCTTACAAGCTGTTGCCAACCTCTGAGCAGTCAGAACAAAATAAGGAACGTTTGTCCCGATGTGAGCCGACCCATCACTGGCCTTTAGCACCGGGTAGCTGGTGCACTTAACAACCAGACTCAAAATTCGGGCCAGGGAATCATTCAGGAAGTTAGTCTTTTAATTTCTGCATCACCCAGGCCCCTCTGTCTGCCCTCCGGCAGCTCCCCTGATGACCACACCTTCCACCAGCGAACAGAGCACCGAAGGCCAGTGGGAACCCGCAGGGAGCAGAAGCGGGTTCCTGGTTAGCAGCTCCTCCCGACGCCCGATGCGGGAGGCGGTGGAAATGAATGACAAGAATCGGGCTGGGAAGCTTTGTTTATCCAAGCTCTTTTCCTCATTAGCACGCATAAACTGAGAGTTGGCTGTGAATAAGGAAAATGGATATTTTAAAAAGTGACAAATATCAAACACAGGTCTCGTCCCTGCTTGGTTACTGGCTTACGGTAAATACCAAACTTCGCTATCGTATTGCCACCTGGTGAAACTATGCAATCGTACCAAATTACATGTTTATCTACACCAAACTTGGTTTTAGACCGGCAAATGTGATATCCACGAACAGATGGCCATTATAGCAAAATACATTTCCTCCAAGGGGCCAATTCACAAAAGGGTCTTACACACACCTAAGTGATAAATGTACAGCTGCAATTCATTGTGGAATCTTGCAAAACACACTTCCTTCCAAATTTATAATTGATCACTTGTAAAGTTACTTCACCTCTGTTACCAAGAGAGCAGGTGGTTTTGATAAAAGTTAGAATATACTGGGAAATAAAAAATGCAGAGAAAGCAGGTATAGGAACAGAGCTCATCCCTTCCTACTCTGAAAAGGACATTAACAGACAAGCAGGATATATGTTAATTTACGAACATAAGTTCTGATTTTTTATAAGAAGGTTGACACTCTGCCAAGCAAAGCTGAAAGGCCACTTTTGCTCATATGTGATAGGAGCAAAAAATTTTCTATCGCTT